CCAGGGGTGTTGCAGCCCTTGGAGGGGTGTTGCAGCCCTTGGAGGGGTGTTGCAGCCCTTGGAGGGGTGTTGAAGCCCAAGCCGGGGTGTTGAAGCCCAAGCTGGGGTGTTGCAGCCCGAGCCAGGGTGCTGCAGTCTGTGCAGGGGTGTTGCAGCCCTTGGAGGGGAATTGCAGCCCTTAGAGGGGTGTTGCAGCCCTTAGAGGGGTGTTGTAGCCTGTGCAGGGGTGTTGCAGCCCAAGCAGAGGTGTTTCAGCCCTTGGAGAGTTGTTGTGGTGCATGCAGAAATATTGCAGCCCTTAGAGGGGTGTTGAAGCCCAAGCCGGCTGTTGCAGCCCAAGCTGGGGTGTTGAAGCCCAAGCTGGGGTGTTGCAGCCCTTAGAGGGGTGTTGAAGCCCAAGCAGGGGTGTTGCAGCCCAAGTCGGGGTGTTGCAGTCTGTACAGGGGTGTTGCAGCCCGTGCAGGGCTCTTGCCCTCGGCCTGATGCCCTCCCTGGTGTCCCCAGGTGCCTCTTCTCCTCCCCGAGGTGACATGGAGCAGCTGAAGTGACCCGAAGACCCCTTGCAGTAAGTGGGGTCCCCATGAATGGGAGCACCCATGGGTGCCAGGGGGGACATGGGGTCCCCTGGGCAGTACAGCCCCCCTCACAGCCTGGTCCCTGCCGGTGGCAGTGCCCATGGGGAGCCTGGTGTCCCCGTGTCACAGCACAGGCACCCGGCTTGCTATGCCAGGGGGTGGCAGGACCCCACTCCTCCCGGGGCTGGGGTGGGCAGGGGCTCGTGCGTCCCCCCCAGTGCCTCTGACAGGGCCCGTGGGTGCATGCATGGGTGCGCAGGCGTGTGCCCTGCTGAGGGGGCGCAGGGCTCATGCTCCCTCTGTCCCCAGGCCGTCGACCCCGACCCCACGCAGCCGGGTGCCGTCTTCACCCACATCCCCGACTTCAACAACTTCCACGGCGTGGCGATGCCCTCGGCTCCGTCCTTCACGGGGCCAGGGGTCTTCACCTCCAACACGCTGCAGATGCGGAGCGGGGGCATCACAGGTCGGCAGGGGGCTTGGGGATGGGGGGGGGTGGTGTGTCCCGCTGCACCCCTGCGGCACCAGGGGGGGCCTGGGGGGCTCACCGTGGTCCCCTCTGCGTGCCGCAGGTGGGGGCGTGACACTTTTCATCGCCCTGTATGACTACGAGGCCAGGACGGAGGACGACCTGACCTTCCAGAAAGGGGAGAAATTCCACATCATCAACAACACGTGAGCCCCCCCGGACCCCCTGCCACCCCCAGCTCCCCTATGCCACCCTGGGGAGGTGCCTCCATGCCGTGGGTACCCTCTGCAGGACCCAGGCTCTGCCTCGGTTCCACTGCTGGATACCAAGAGAACCAGGGCCATGTGTGCCATGAGTTGGGTGGTCTCAGCAATGACCCAGACATGGGTCCCCTCTGTAGCAGGGGAGAGCAGGGTCTGGGGGTGCTATGTGCAGGGTGGCTAGGCCCGTCTGTCTGTCCCTCCTCCTCACTTGGTTCCTCTTTCTGCAGGGAGGGTGACTGGTGGGAGGCCAGGTCGCTGAGCTCGGGTGCCACGGGCTACATCCCCAGCAACTACGTGGCCCCTGTGGACTCCATCCAAGCAGAAGAGTGAGTATGGGGGGGACAGGGGTGGAGGGGGACCCCAACCCCATCAGCCTCGAGCCCCGGTGTCTTGGCACCCCTGGCGAGCCCCGGCGTCCCCGTGGGTGCCCCTCGGCGGTGCCCTCCCGGCGCTGAGTCCGGCCCCACGCAGGTGGTACTTCGGGAAGATCGGGCGCAAGGATGCGGAG